CGTCAATAACACTGGAAAACAATGAAGCAAACACTCCACGAAATCGCATCGGTAGTAACACGACCTAAACGACTACAGCGACATAGAGAAAAAGGTACAAAAACGAAGCCAGGGAAGGCGTTGCCATTTGTTTTCCGCAGTGAAAAATTTGAAGCTAAAAATGTGAAATTCGAAGCGAGTGAGGCACTTTGACACAACATTGTCACTGTCAATGCAAATATTAACGCGAACCACATTCTGTTATCCCCATGTGTTATTTTTTTGTTGAAGAAATTACAACTACAAAACTAAATGTTTAGATTTATTTCTACGTGGATAGTCATTCAAAAGTTGATGGCATTAGTGCTTCGGCCAAAGCATCCAGCGTGATGAATTCACATGAAAAACCGGACTTTGAATGTTATAAAGGTTATAGATAAATAATCAGGTCTGTGATATATTTACATTTAACCAAATCGGGTAAGAACATGTAGACCGGACTCGAATGAGCGGCAGAAATCGAGCCTACAGCAAGGAGTAAAACAACAAACCCAGAAAAAAAATACCCTCGACCCTCGACATGGGACCCTCGACATGGGACCCTCGACCCTCGACCCTCGACAAAAAGATAGACTCGATCGCTCCGTGCGCATTCACGCAGCTGAAATTTTCTAGCGCCAAGGCTCCATCGGTCAAGAGGGACAGGTGACTCTGGGGACGAGGTTGCGTACCGGAGCTGCTAGAGCGAGGTGCAGAGATTGCAGCAGGGATTTGTTCATGTTCCTTCCAGAATGTCAAAATCTCTCGTGGATTTGTGCATGTTCTGTGTTGCTAAAAACCTGGAGAATATCGATCGAGTTGGGTCTTTTTTGTGCAAAAATGACAACGAGCTTGTGTTGGAACTGCTGTGTGATCATGACATGTTTACAGGGAGTAGGATGCCATACATAACAACCGAGCTTTTGACATCACGACTGGAAAACATCGCTTTTCGTTACAGTGGTCAAGTGGACGACACATTGCTTCAAAAAGTAGCCCTCTCCCATTGCAAACTCAAGTCTTTTATACTCAAAGACTGTCTACAGGTGTCAGGTGAGTTGAGGTGACACGCACAAGGGACGAGTCCCTGCGACTAGTCCCTGTAACAAGTCCCTTCGTGTGGATAGAACTTGTCAAAAATCTAGTAGCAGGGACATGTTGGTCCGTACGGCCCTTCTCACGGATTCAAACTGGTTTGAACTGAAGGGAAAAGTCTCCGCCGAACTTGTCCCTCAACGGCAGTCGTGTGAACCGTTCGTGGGACAAGTCGCAGGTATTTGTACCTCGTGTGTGCATAGTTAGTGGTGTGTGCCGAGCTTTACTAGTAGATAAGCTTTACTTCATTAACTTTTGAAAATGAGTTTGGGAAAAGATTGTGTTTTTTCTTTCGGCTTTACTTGTTTTGCTGTGGGTTTCCTTTGTCTTTGGCTAGTTTGCCGATTTTTGTGCCTTTCTCTTGAATGCTAACATGTCTACTTTTCCTGGGAAATTCTGATCGATTGTTGTTGAGGGCAGAGGTCCTGTTGCTCCACTGATTTGCAGCTTGATGAGGTGAGATAATCTCCTGGTGTGACATGAGTTGTTTGCAGATCTTTATGAGCTAAAACAATGCGTTTGAATTTGGGAAGAAATTTTACATCTATTTTGAGTGACTTTATAGGGTGTAGATCGGTCGGGAATTCATATTTTTAAAACGTTTTTAAAAAACTTTATTAGTACTTATGAATACTTTTTTTGCCAAAAACTTTACAAGTTTATTTATATATAATTTCAATAAATTTACTTTTATATTGCTATATACTGATAAATTGCAAATACTGCAAACAAGTAATTCAGTTTTCGCCCTTTTAATTTATTAGTATGTTGTATTTATTATACTGATAAACAGGATTTTTTGTCAAAAAGAAATCGACTTTTTCGCCAGTTCAGTTTACTAGTATAACTAAATTAATACAACTGTAAACGGCCGGGAAATCGGGCCGGAAAGAAATGTACTTTTTCGCCAGTTCAATGTACTAGTATAAGTGATTAATATAACTGTAAAGACTGGGCAATCGGGCCAAAAAGAAATCGACTTTTTCGCCAGTTTAATTTACTAGTATAAGTGAATTAATACAACTGTAAACGGCCGGGAAATCGGGCCAAAAAGAAATTGACTTTTTTGCCGGTTCAGTTTACTAGCAGAATTGAATTGATGTAACTGTAAAGGCCGGGAAATTGGGGCAAAAAGAAATCTACTTTTTCACCAGTTCAATTTGCTAGTATAACTAAATTAATACAACTGCAAACGGCCGGGAAATCGGGCCAAAAAGAAATCGACTTTTTTGCCAGTTCAGTTTACTAGTATAAGTGAATTAATATAACTGTAAATGGCCAGGATGTCGGGCCAAAAAGAAATTGGCTTTTTCGCCAGTTCAATTTACTAGTATGACTAAATTAATACAACTGTAAACGGCCGGGATATCAGGCCAAAAAGGAATCTAGTTTTTCGCCATTTATATTTACTAGTATAACAAACTCAAAACAACCGTAAAGGCCGGGAAATCGGGCCAAAAAGAAATCGACTTTTTCGCCGGTTCTATTTACTAGTATAACAAAATCAACATAACTGTAAAGACCGGGAAATTGGGCCAAAAGGAAAGTAACTTTTTCTCCAGATAAATCTAGTACACAAAACCTTATGAACATGCCATCATACATGATCAAACATCGTGTGGTGACCAAACATGTTGATGTTGTACAGTGTGGCCAAACGGTATCAAACATGTTATATCACGTTCCAAACGTACAAAATGTTTTACAATGTTTCTTGAAATGTTTGTTGGCGTTCAAACTTTATCAAACATGATCAAGCAAGGTGTTCGAACGGGAAAATGTTTGGTTTCCAAACAATCTTTGGTCATATTTGATCACCAAACATTTCCCGTGTGGACAGGGCTTAATATCTATCATCTCACAATTTTTAAGTTTGGACCACATCTTCCAGTACAGTAAAGTACAGTAAAGTGCAGTGAAATCTGTAATCAGTGGACCCCATATTAACCACTGTAACTCCCAAAACCTTTTTATGAAACGAACCCGGCTCTACTAAGCAGACAGCTTTGTTATTGTGGGTATCCATTATAATAATACTTGTTGTTCCCCTGAGAATTCTAAATTTCCGAGTTTTCTCACCGCACGACGCGAGTTTTCTCACCGCCGCTTCTCGCTCTACTGGATCGAAAATCCCTTACACCTCATTGGCCCTCTCGCTTCAGGGAGGACCAATAGGAGAGCTGCAACTTCGATCCAAACCACAGACTATCCTGGTATAAAAAGATCACCAAACAACTATTTGAGTGGGAACGGAATTGAGAAACTTCTCTACCTTTCCCTGAGTAACATTAAATTTAAAGTTGTCATGCCTCAAATAGTAGCTGAAGAGATTTGTGAAGAATCGAAACCGAGTGGTCCTGCTGAAGCAACTATGATGTCAGACAACGAATTACTGCTATATCTCGGACCAAGTACATCTGGTGACGACTGGGATGTCGATCACACAGCCCCCAAAACACCTTCTTACTGTCCTCCAACTGACACTGAATAACATGTGGCGGAGGACAAACAAAATGATGCTTATGGAAAAGCTCCGATTATATCATATAAGAGAGGCAAATCTCTAAAAGATACACTCGTTAAAGGGAAAATTTAATTGAAGGCTGAAATGCATCGCCATCGCAATTCATGAGGGGAGTGCGTGTAGGCCTGTCATATCTTTTGTTTTCAACATCAATTTTAATCAATCAAAATTAAAGCACATTTCATGTAAACTTACGCTTGAATTGGTTTCAATTCACTATTGGAAGAAATTTTTTTTTTGTCATTTACTAGTATTGAATATACCTGCAATATACTAGGAAACGAATTGGGCAAAAATTCCATTTCTTTTCTGCCAGTTTGTCATTTAGTATTCAATATACTAGTAAACAAACTGGGCGAAAAAGTCCATTTCTTCTCTGCCAGTTTGTCATTAACTGGTTTTGATTACACATTCAATATAATAGTAAAACAATCGGGCGAAAAAGTCCATTTTTTTTTCTGCCAGTTTGTCATTTACTAGTATTGAATATACATCTAATATACTAGTAAAACAATCGGGCAGAAAAGCCCATTTCTTTTCTGCAAGTTTGTCATTTACTAGTATAGAATATACTTGCAATATACTAGTAAACAAACCGGGCGAAAAAGTCCATTTCTTCTCTGCCAGTTTTTTATTTACTAGTTTGATTATACATCTAATATACTAGTAAACAAATCGGGTGAAAACGTCCATTTCTTTTCTGCCAGTTTGTCATTTACTAGTATTGAATATACTTCTAATATACTAGTTAAACAATCGGGCAAAAAAGCCCATTTCTTCTCTGCAAGTTTGTCATTTACTAGTATTGAATATCCTTGCAATATACTAGTAAACAAACCGGGCGAGAAAGTCCATTTCTTTTCTGCAAGTTTTTTATTTACTAGTTTGATTACACATCTAATATACTAGTAAACAAATCGGGCGAAAAAGTTCATTTCTTTCCTGCCATTTTGTCATTTACTAGTATTGGATATACATCTAATATACTAGTAAAACAAT